ATGATAAAGAAACAAGGTAAATTCATTTTTTTATACTTTTCCTCTTTGTAATTGTTCAAAAATTATATGTTTGTCTTAAAATTATCTACTAATAATTGCGTAACAAACGAGATTTATAAATTTTATTATTTCATGATTATTATTGTTTATTATTGTTTATTATTATCATATATGACCTATAGATATGTTATTTTAGATATGATATGTTCAAGTGTCGATTGGCTGGTGCTTCGTCAATTCAAGTAAATTTGATACTACTATTATCAGTACTGATGATATTCTTTCCAGTTCAAAGAAGACGTTTTTAGTATTTTATGAAACAAAATAGCTAATGCTACAATTGCTGTATTAGCAATTACCTTTTTTAAGCCGTCCATTATAAATGTAAGTACTACTAAAGGTATTTAGGGTATCCCAGACCTACCGCACCATCTGCTAATGGCAGATTCCTGAAGTTATTTTGAGATGAAAATTCTTATACCAAAATGTTGGGGCTATAATAGTTTTTGAATTATAAATATTTAAAATTAGTGAATCATATCGCTTAAAGTTTGCGCATTTATTAGGTTGACATTTTGTTCCACAGTACAGTGCAAAATCCAATGCCAATATCTAAACTCACGAACTTTAGGCGATATAAATGCTTATAATTCAAAAACTAGTATAGCCTCGACATTTTGGTATTAGAATTTTCATCTCTAAATGACTTCACAAATCTGCCAATAGTAGATGATGTGGTAAGTCTGGGATACACACACACACACACACGCACACAATAGGGAATGGAAGTAACTATGTTACTTGTAATGCTATTACTTATCATCGTTACTTTGTTATAATAACGATTTGGCAATGGCGAATTTTTTTATGATTGTCACAGTAATGCCATGGTTAGAAAGTCACTCGATCGTTATTTGTAATAAATAGGAAAAGTCAGTTATTACTGAAAAAATTAACTCGACGTTTGTAACTCATTATTTTTTAGTTGTTATTTGTAACAAGTAACGTTACTCGTTATAAATTCCTACTATTTTCAGTAAGTAAACGCGTAATGGTGCAAGTTACTTTTCAAAGTGACTTTCTCAACCTTAGCGCAATTTCTCAGCGTTTAGTTAGTTACTGTTATAGTCATAAGCAGTTACAACGTCGTTATCAAATTGTTATTATAAAAAGAGTAACAGAATAGTAACTCTTCTATTTCCTGATATACACACACATAGTAAGATCCAAAAATTTCTGCTCTAAAATAGAAGAAGCATTGAAAAGAAAAAACGGCGATTATTGTTTTCCATTCTAGTTTCCTTTAAGGAGATCCTAAACCGATTACCGATAAGTTGATTAAATCATTATTAGTGGTAAAGGAACATGAATATAACGTGAAGTACACAGGACTTAAATGTAGTAGGAATTCAATAAATTATTGAAAGTACTTCACTTTAATTTAGAGCGAGAGAGAGCGTTTTGTGGAGCTATCAATAGATGGCGCGTGTACTCGTAAGAGAGATTCGAAATCTACCTGTAAAATCTACTCTAAAGCGAGGATAGTCAAATGGTCAAACCATTAACCATTTTCATGCACTTCTTGCTACATCATGGCGATAAACATTTTTTTCAGACTGGAGTAGAAAGTTTTAATGATTAATTAAATTATTTTACAAAGTAACGGGATCGAATAAATTTAATGAATTGTCCTATTAAATAAATTATTAAATCTACTTTACTCGAAGAGACAAAGTAAAAATCACTTCAAAATTGTTACTATCAACAATTTATTGATTCGTTACTTTGTAGAAATAGTTCGGTCAAATATTAGAGATTTCACACCGACGAAGATCTTCAAGCACCGTTGAGATCTATTTGGAGACTAAGGATAACATAATTATTTTTTTAAGGGCATGGAGATGCTTCCAAAGAGGTATACCGAGTGTATTGAACTTAAAGGAGATTATATTGAAAAATAATAATCACCGTTTTTTCCTTCTAAGGTTTTTTCCTTTCTTCTATTTCGAGACAGGAACATTCAGATCTTACTATATATACATATATATATATGTAAATGAATTATGAATCAAATTAAATAAGATTTTTGTAATGATAAATGCACATGGGACAATAATTTGTTAATTTTTATATCTATAATACATTGATCGAATCTCATATCGAATCTGCATAAAAATTTTCAGAATTTTATAACGCGGTATTGAAGATGAGAACATGTGTGTTTATTTTTTTACTCATTAAAATTATAATTGCAATTAATGATGCGAATGACATTAAATGATCTGATAGATATAATTGAGCTATAATTCGTCCAAAAATGAATCCGTCCGATTGTTTTTGAATCTCTGACACTTTAGCAGTTTATGTAATATAACAACTGAAAAATGTTCTGTAATATGAATTGTTTATTATAATATCTATTAATATTTGATAAATATGTTTTTATAGAAACTTATATTCTTATTATAAGCTAGCTTAACAGAAATATAGAAATCCAAATAGCCAATTTATCAAAAACAGTGCGAAACGTTATAATTTTGTCAACAAAATATCAACAGAGAAATATATCCAAATCTGTTAATAGAATATGATTGCAGATTAACTGCAGTCTATTGTTAGATTATCTTAATAGACTTTAGGGCAATCGAACACAAAATGACATAAGCTGCATAACATAAGGTAGTTGGATAAGCATCCGACATAAAAACGCCATATTGATTTACACAAGATGCTCATTAGTCCAGCGATTTTATGCTATAATTATGTAGCTTATATATCATTTAGGGCTACCGCAGACAAAATTTTGTAACAGTAAGCGTAATGCCTACTGCACACTGGATGCGATGAGCGATTAGCGACATCCAATGAAAACTGCTTTTTCTCACGTGACGATGCAAAGTAGAGCTTTCATTGGATATTGCTCGTCACTCATCGCATCCAGTGTGCAGTAGGCATAAGGCGCAAACTTAAGTCGATGAGCTAATCAGGATATGATTACGCTTACTATTACGGAATTTTGTCTGCGGGAGCCCTTAGTGTATGATGGCCCTTGTAAAATATGAGCAAATGCAAACAATTGATATCAATTTGTTACAATATTCTGATCGAATCTGCTAGTAAACTGATATTGTTAACGTTTTGCTTACTATACGTACACCCAAGGACTCTGATTCTTTCCCTCGGAAATTTTCACAAACTGAGAAATGACTACCTTTTTACATTAATGTTCATATAATTTAGTAGTGTCGATAATCCGTGCGTGATTATCGACACGACTAAATCTTACGTCTGCTTACAACTAAATTTGACGAAAAAAAACTTGAATTTTTGGAAGTTTTAAAAAAGTAACCGAGGGAAAGAATCGAAATCCTTGGGTGTACATACATTCATGAATTAAAAGGTTGCAGCTTTTTTTTCAATGAATTTTGGAACTGTCTTACTCGTAAAGTGGTTGAACTTGAATAGTTAGATCCATAAGAATCAATCGCTTGGTGAGCAGGTTGCATTCCGAAATTTTTTTCGTGTAAAATACTATCGGAAAAAGTGTTACAACTTTTCAGTTGATGAGTGTATAAAAGATTGGGACTGCGCTCGGTTTGAACGATTTTAGCGTTTCTATCCTTGTTTTGTCTAATGAAGGATAAAGACAGAATTATGATTATAAGCACTTTAAGCACGTAAACATTCAAACTTCTGCACAGCTTTAGATTAATATTTTTTTAATATACATATACATAATTATAAAAAATACAATTTTTATATTCGATATATTCCAAAGACAGTGTTCATGGACAAAATACAATATAGTCCACAATAAATGTTTGCTAATAAACATCTTTATTGTTTTAATTATAATTATACGTAATTTCATAAATTTTATCATAATCTTATCCATTTACGCATTTTAGTACTTTCTATTCTATATTTACGATTTACATTTAAATATAGTTTCAGAAAAAAATATGGAGCACATTTTTAATCGAGATTACATTTATACACAAAATATATGTATGAATTATAAAACATCAAAATTTTAATTTGACAAAGGTTCTCAGATATTTCAGATATTAATTCAATAGAATTAATTTTCGATGTGGGCAATTGAGAGCAAACGCAGTTAAATATAGCATATATCTATGTATGATACCAAATAATAAATTTATAACATTATTTCTTTATTAATACGAACGTTTCGACTTTGTTTAAGTCATCTTCAGCATATATCACTGCTTATAGTTTGAAGTTTTCATTACTTGGTGGGTTGAGATGATTGCCAATTCAAGTATTGAGAATAACCTCCTTAACCAGCTGTTATTCTCAATACTCGAATTGGCAATCATCTCAACCCACCAAGTAATGAAAACTTCAAACTATAAGCAGTGATATATGCTGAAGATGACTTAAACAAAGTCGAAACGTTCGTATTAATAAAGAAACAATGTTATAAACTTATCATTTGGTATCATTATACATAAATAGATATATGCTAAATTTAACTGCATTTGCTCTCAATTGTCCATATCTCACGATATGGAAATTAATTCTATATGTATGAATTATATCTTAAAATTATTTCTATTATCTATAATATAATAAATCGATATCGAAACTCGACAACAATATAATTGTAGCTTTTTTGTATTTAATGTATTTAGTAATTAGTATTTTACATAAAAAACAAATATTTTGTCAGTTTATATCAATGTGCTATCATGTAACTTTATTTAAATACAGTTTTTATTTTAATAAGATTTTAATTTGTGATTTAATTTCTAAGATACTTGATATTTTTCTTAAAAAAGCAATCGTACAAGATTTAATAAGAGTATTCGATCTCTTAATCAACAATTTTTTCATTATTTTTTAATTAAAAAATTAGTGGAGAGAAAAGTTGATAACACATTATTCATCAAGAAACACTTTTTGTTTATATATTTATGTTTAACAAATATCTATACATAACAATGATCTTTATATATATATATTAATACAAAGTCCTATTGTTTTAAAGTCAATATCATATATATCTTTTGACTTACTGTTCCTTCTTACCAAGATAATGATGCTTAATAAATCTATAACCTTGCGTAATTTGTGCACCTTCATTGACAAAGTGGCAGGCAAATAAAAGCATGTTGCGTGGCTGCACCTTGATTGCAAATCTCATGAACATTGCTGAATATAAGCATAAGGCTGAAAAAAATCAGCATAAAGTCTTAAAAACTGATACCAGTAAATAAGAAACAATTACAGAAATTCGAAGAGCTATTCACATATCAATTTTTATAAATCCTACAATAATATAGAACAAGTTATAAAGATTCACATAGTGAATTTATCTTCTATTCTATAGTTGAATACAAAACAATTAAATTAAAAAACGAAACAAGCAATATTCCATCCAGTGCACAGTGGATGGCTTACATTGACTTACATTCTTCACTTACTATAATTTATTTCTTTGAAGCTTTATTATTCGAAATAGATATTGTTATATAATAAGAACACTGATTGCCAAGTATGGTTTTCACTCTAATTTTATTAAATTTTACTTAAATTATCATAAATCTTATAGCTAGCATAAATATGAAATAAATATCATAAATGTTGCAAATTAATAGAAAACATATTTTATAGTTAACGGAAAACAGTTTAACTAGTATGCTTACTAGAACTTAATAAATAAAAATCATTAACGCGAATTAGACAAATAGATATGTAAATCGAATCCTTCAAATACCTTGAAACTCGTGAACAAGATGCAATGCATGTAATAAGGATAATTGAACTAACCAAAGGTCATTTTACCACTAATGTACTTGGGATCCCTCTGGATATCGGAGATGGCAGCAATCGGTATCGCCCAATTAGCAATGGGTCCCCAAAAGTGCGTGCTAAAAAAATGTTATCATTCATTACGTAATATTTAATGCATACATGCACTGTCATGACCTGAATAAGTACTGATAATTCAAAATGAGTCCGACTTGACGTTCACACAATTCATACCGCTCCATCGATGTTAAAACTTAAATGTGTACAAATTTAATAATTCACATTCAAGTTACACACAGGAGACATTAGGCAGTTTACTAATTATAGTTTTTATATATTCTGTACGTAGAATCTAAGCGATTTATAATGAGATTCACAATGAATACAAAAAAATCTTTCCTGTATTTAAAAAATTATATTAAAATAATAGGGAATGGAACAGTTACTATTCTGTTACTTCTATAGTTACAATTTGATAATGTTGCAATTTATTACGACTATAATGATAATTAACTGAAATTAAACGTTGAAATTACGCTAAAGTTGGGAAAGTCACTTTGAAAAGTAACTTGCATCATACATACGCATTTATTTTTTGAAAAAAGTAGTTTATAAGGAGTAATATTACTCTTTATAAGTAACGACTAAAAAATAACTAGTCACAAATACCAAGTTAATTTTTTCAGTAACGAGTGTCTTTTCCAACTTGTTACAAGTAACGATCATTCGAATGATTTTCTAACCGTGATGTTACCATTATAGACATAAAAAAAATTCATCATTGCTAAATCATTATTATAACAAAGTAATGACAAGATAAGTCTTTTAACAGTGTTAAAAGAAACTAATTATTTTCATTCCCTGAAAATAACACAGCTAGAATCATTGAGAATAAAATAATCAATTTAATTTTCTGTTTAAAACAACAAATATTAAAAATATTATTTACTTGGATCTTGACAATGAGTTTATAATTTTGATTAGACTTATCTGTTTTAACATTTTATGTCCATATAATTTTAGTAAGCTCGTCAGTACATTCGTATTATTTCCTTTAAAATATTTCTATACGCTTGCCTATCGGATATTTGTAAGGTTCACAAAGACGCTTAAATATGATGTATTACATCGCTCCTGTAAAATCTAACCCCGCAAACACAATACAGTGGTAAGTCTTAAGCCTTAAGGAATTGACCAATCAGAGTTGATTATTCTTCTCACATTCGACTGTGATTGATCAATTTTTTAAGGCTTACTATATTGTATTTGCGAAGTAAAGGATGAACAACGCTGCTGAAATTATATCAACAACTCCATCGTCAAGATAATCTATCTCTAAATTCATGTCAACTGAGTAACTTGAATTGGATGAAAATTATTTACCTATTTTAATATTCTACGAATCATTCTGTTCATTCTTTTTGTTTATATAAAAAAAATTAAACAAGGACAAATGATGCTTACGAGCGTTGTGGGCTTCAAGTCGAACGCACTTTTAAATGACATAATCATCACTTGCCTCATAAAATAATCGCGAGTTTCCTTACTCTTGAGAACTTTCATAAAACGATTCATCTTGAATGTTCGTGTTTTCACACCGAGGGAGAGAAATAGCTTATGTAAAAATTCGACGAGTTTGGACTTCGATTGGGATACGGTCTATGGAATGCTCAATGCACTGTAGTCTCTAGTCTGCTGTAATCATAGTGCACGGGCTGCACAGGGACTAAGGGACACGTCAGAACACATGGAAAGAAATAGAGAAGACAGCGGCACTGACCGCGCCAAATGCTGGTCTCGGTTTAAAAAAAGTCTAAATAATGTAAAATTACATAATTATAGACAAATGTATATAATAGCGTATTCGAGGAAACATGAATCTCGCAATGTTTTCATGCCTGCAGAACAATGATTGATTGAATAAAGTCGAAAGTTATAGCGATTTAAACCACTTGATACTTTCGCTCGGTTAGTCTTGGTCATTTTAATTATTTTGGTAATATTGACAGTCAGAATTTCTCAAGTAAAGTTCGAACACCGCTTAAACAATTTTTCGTTATCTTCCATACTCTGCAGGTATGCTCCAAATAATGTTATTAATTTGATTACCGATGCAGATGAGATACTAGAAGCAGAGAGAAGCCTGAGAGCGGCCATGCCTGGGATTTAGCTGCAACCTTATTTTGAAGCGCCTCTATGTCCACAAAACGTGGACATTGAACTACGTAGCCAACGTCCACGATCCCGTCGGTAATGTCGACGATTTTTTGATTGTATTCTTCGCTATGTCCACGATTTTCGGTCCGTTAAGCTCATTCTACAATTGCGTAAGCGTAGTTGTAAATGGTTGTAGTTGTAAGAATTGACTAATCACAGTCGAATATTCTCCTCATATTTGACTGTGATAGGTTAATTCTTACAACTACAACCACTTACAACTACGCTTACGTAATTGTAGAACGGGCTTTAAAGCCATCACACGTATGTACAAAAATTTTAGTCGTAGCGTAAGGCCGTAAGCAGATCGGCCAGTCACAGTCGAGCGTTTAAAAACGCGAGATCATAATTTTGATTGCGATTGGTCGATTTGCTTGTGACCTTACGATTACGATTAAAATGTTTGTACGTGTGATGGCCTTTAAGCCTAAGACACAATACGAGGGAATAGCGATAGCGATAGGAATAACATGATTTCAACTTATCAGAAATCGGATATATCGGAATACGCAGTTTCTGATAGGTTGAAATCGTGTTATTCCTATCGCTATCGCTATTCCCTCGCATTAGCTGCGTTCAGCAGACTTAACAGTTTTGCAACCGTTTTATGATTGTCTGCTGAGATAGGACCATTCTTCTAGATCTAAAAGTATGATCCAATTAGCGCGAAGGAAATTTCCAACAGTTGCAAAACGAACGTTCTGCTGAACGCAGCCGTTGTGTCTCGGGCTTTATTGCTGTTTTCGCCACCGTTGCGTCGCTGCGAGCTGCTGCCGCCGTTTCCGCAGCCGCCGCCGCCGCCACTGCTGTCGCCGCTCGATGCGTCGTTGTCGCACCACTGAGTATCTCATTTGATATGTTAGGGTCGTGTTTGCCGTTGGAGACTGTGACAACCGTCGAATCGCATTACTACGTATCGTGCACATCTCATCGTCCGTCGTTCTCGTGACTAATAGGCGTGTCGTGGTCGGAAATCGTGACAACTGCGTGAGAGTGCGAATATCGCACGAATATCTCACCTCAAAAGAGAGACGGAGAGAAAGAGAGAGAGAGAGAGGGAGAGAGAGGCTGCGCGACAGGGTGAGTTTCTTTGGTAAGAGAGAGGCCTGTTCCAAGCGAAATCATGAAAGTAAGTCGAGATCGTCTTTGCGATAAATGCGTTGACTCTTAAAGAATATAAAATATGTGGATATAAAATTTCGTTTATTTTTATCCGAATAAGTTCGATCTCTTGGGTTTATTTTTGAATTCTGATACATTGCATTTGCGATTTAAAATGTGCAAGAAGATTCGGAATTTCTTCGTTATTCATTATTTAGTTATGTTGCAATCTTTTGTAACTTTGTTTCTATTTTTCAGTCTTGATTTATGGTCCTAACATATCCAATATTTACTAAATTCAATATATTAGATATTTTAGACGATAAAATGTCGAAAATAATTTTTTAAGAGATAATGTAAAATTATTTTTTTGCTATCTCTGATCTTATCTTTTTAATTGTTACGGAATATCGTAAAGAAAATGTTACAATTTCGATCATATGGTCTATTGACGAGTTACAGCGTTAGGTATGAGAGATTTTTATAAAGAAAGTTCGAAATTAATTCCTCAAGACGAAAATACGCAAATGCTGTGCAAAAGTTTGTTTCTTTTTGAATTAGGAAACAATTTCTTAATAAATGTAATATTCGAAAGAACGATATTTTATTCAAGATATATATATATATATACGGATATTTATTATAAACACTTACGATATAAGCTCATGATTAAGTCATTACAGATCTCGCGACAAATTTGATGCATTAGACAATTCGTAGAGTCAATTTACTACATTTCCGATTATGAATCTTTTTATTCGGCTTTTCGTATTTTATTTAGGGTTCTGCATTTTTCTTTTATATTTTTTCCTTAATTTTAAATTTAATTCTTTATCTATGTTTTATAATTGTTTATAGCTAAGAACATTATCACATTGTTTATTATGTAATTTATTTTCTTTTTTTACTTTTAATATATATTTAGGTATTGAGATTATATACATTTAACTTTAAAAGGAATTGCTAGTTCTACATTCTACTGTAATTATCACGGCATAATGTTATTATTCATTGTTAAATTTACCATGTATATGCAAACAAGCAAACTGTTATTGTTTCTATGTTTTTTTAAAAAGACTCAAATATTTTTCTATTTTAATTTAGTTTTAATCATTGAGATACATATACATTTATACATATTTTGCAGAGTTTAGGACAGAAATTTTTGTAATAAACATTTTAAAGGTTGTATTTACAAGGACATTCATAAATTTATAATAAATTTCAGTCAATAATAAATTAAAGAAAATAAAAATTAATTTGATAATATAAAGAAAATAATTGATAATATAAAGAAAATAATAGTTAAAGGAAATAGATTTTTTGGCATAACTCAAATATCTTTATTAGATAGTTAAGAATCAACTAGATATTCATTAATATTATTATTTGTTAGTAAGAAATATCTTATCTGAAATTATTATAAACATTTGTGACATTGAAACAGTATTATTTCATCTAACAAAGAGTATTAAAACGAATTGCAACGAGAGAGAGAGAGAGAGAGAGAGTAGAGAGAGAGAGAGAGAGAGAGAAAGAGAGAGAGAGAGAGAGAGAACGAGAACAGTAACTTATACAAGATTACAATCAACAAATAACGTTATTTTAATATTATTTCGTATGTAATTTTAATTTTAACAACTTACTTTTATTCGACGCAAGACATGTGAATGTCGCGAAATAATTATAAAGTAAATCAGAAGTATTCATGGATATTTATTGGACATGAATATTCGTGTTATTCAATTGAATATTTTGTTGGATACTTGTACCGTGTAGGTTGTTCAATTTATTAAAGAAAACAAGCGATTTACGTTGGAGTTACCGCTATTGACCATCTCGCTATCCTTTTCTGAGCGTATGGGCGCGGTTCTGATCCTATAATACTCTGTTCTACTTTGTAATGTCTCCGTGCTATTCTACATACTTCGCGTTGATTGTTCCCGTTTATTAAGACAATAAAAATGTCAGCGAGAATCATCTTAAATAAATATTAGTAAATCTATCACATTTGTCAATTTGAAATTAACGAAATGTGAGACTTGCGAATTGGAACTTTCTAAATAAGATATTTGAGAATTATTTGAACTTTTAAAGAATAATACAAATTAATAAATATAATTAGATGAATTCTTTATAATCATGTCAAAATATCAAATACATATGTAAAAACCGAATAAAATATTACAGAACACTTTCTATTCTGATTGAAGCAAAGAAGACTTCTCAAGTAATCAGTGGTAATAATATAGAATCAGCTAGTTTTAATTTGAATGTATTATAAAAACTAAAAATGAAGGATATACATATATTTAATGAGTACATTAATTATTATAGTATTTTGTTGAATTTCACTACTAATTACCGTATTGGATATATTATCGGCTATCTGTCTACAAATTTTTTTGAACTGCTTGTGTATAAATACATTAAATCAATCCTTGTATATAATAGCGTTATTAAAATATCAGAGACATATATTTTAAATTGTATAATAAAATATACACAGGGTTAGGAACATTACTTCATAAAATTACTGCGTCACCGTTACTGTACTTAGAAAGTAACGATTTGTTACTTTTCTCGTTACATCTTTGTAATGTTAAAGTAAGATGTTAGATTTAAAAATTACGTTATGTAATAATCAATATTAATTATAAAATCAGTATTAAAATTTAAAATTAAAAAATTTAAAACTTTATATTAAATTTATATCTTAATAAAAGAACAAATTTTCGATAATTCTTCATATTAACATTTTTATTTTGTAAATGTCCAGAAGTGGTATTCCACCAAAAACCGCGATTTTTTTTCAATAATCAACAAAACTAGTTATAAAAAGACATGTATATACAATGTTTTGAGGGGGTTTGTGGTTTTTGTGAAAAAAATTCTATTTAAGAAATTAATAAATTTTATCTTTTATATTGAAATATTGATGTAAAGTCTTTTAGTCTTCTACATTATTATCTATATTAGCCATGAGATCGAAGTAAAATATTGGCAAGATGAAAAAAATGCATAGAAACGTTCATAATGATTAGGAAAAGTGCGTCGCGAAACATATATTCGAGCATATGATCTTTTCTCCGATCATATTGTGATATTTAGGAACACATCAGGCCAATTAAGCTGGATATTTTGTGTATAAGCGTATACGACTTTTCGAGCGAATCGAGGTCAACCTAACTTCTCTCTTGCTAAGGCTGGGGCGTCCAACTTTTCATATAAATTGAGGTTCACCCATCTCCTCCCCTCTGCCTAGGAGTAGACTTTTCAAAATGATCAAGATCTACATCACACGTCTCTATCTAAGAAGTTGGATGTTCCTATATAGGGGGTGGGGAAGTGGGATAGATCCATGATGGAAGGATTAACGTGGGCTGCGGTCCGATTCACACTCACAACGCTTAAAAATCATTTCATCCTTGTCGTTTGTCAAATGTTGAACGAAGACAAATAATGCTCATGAGCGTTGTCAGCATGAATCGGACCATGGCCATAGTGTGCTCAGTTTGTAAGCGTCTCTCTCTAATTCTCTGCCCTCTCGTTTGTTCGATGCCGCCCCACTCAGCTTTCAAAGTTCGATGCACGCGCAACATATTAGACAAAGATAAAGATTACCCATCCCGTATTCTTTCCCTTTCTACTATCTAACATTTCCACTTACAGGAGCCTCTATGCCTTGTCTACTCTATGTATACACACGCACATCATTTAGATTCGGTCTGTTTTTATCATATACTATCTAGTACTACCAACGTTTGTTCGG